CCACCTAAACAAGGGGGAGGGTATCAGTATAATCAGTTTTCAGTCAAGGCTGAGTTCAGAGATGAACAGAATCAAGTACAGAAGAGGGCGTGGCCCTGGGATTTCTGTTCTGTACTGTTTGTCTCGTCCACTTGCCAACACCACCACACACTTCCTCCCAATTTATTTCACATAGTGTTACTACATGTCTCAGAAATCAGAAAGTAAACAGGGTTCCGTGCTGCTCACTGTCACCCGGCAGCCATCTGGGAGGCTGAGGCAGGAGGATGGCAAGTACGAGGCCAGCCTCAGCAATTGAGTAAGGCCCTGTCTCAAAATTAAAAGGGCTGGGGGTGCAGCTCAGTGGTATAGCACCCTGGGTTCAGTCCCTTCCCTGTCCCTTCCCTGCATCTGCTCAGTTCCTGTTTTACACACACGTGTGCAATTGTGCACCCAAGCCCTTTTTTTAGTTCCCTGTTCCCCCCTTTCCCAAGATCATGCAAACGTAAGGAATACAAAGAGCCCCTCTTCTTGGACCTCATTTTACAGAAAGAGCAGCAAACTAGAGCGAATCTTACACTTTGCCATCAACGCAAAAGGAGAGAAACTTCCGGTCCTTCCTGGGGCCGCGTAGTGTTATATCAGACGCTGAGGTTAAGAGACCACTCTCCTCCTCACCCAGAAAACCTCTACACAAGTAGAAGAGAAAGAAAGCAGTTCTTTTTCCACATGAGCTTTAACCCGACTGCGGAGTGTCACCCAGGGAGCCCGCAAGAGGGTGCGGGTGCAGGAATGGCCCCTTTCCTATGGCCAGGCGGGCACGGCGGTCACACACGTACTCTCCAACAGTGACCAGTCCTCGAGCAAGGTGACTAGACAGCAGCCTTGGTGACATTGCTCACTCTGAAGTCACGTGGTCCTTGGAGTGGCCCCCAGTGCCTGCTAATTGCTTTACCCGAAGGAAATATAAACTGGTGTCTTTACGAGGTGGGTCTTGCGACCTGTCAGTTGGGCGTCTGCCTCCCGAGGAGGCTGGCAACAGAGTTGCTACGTTTCTTGATGTTTGTGACCTGGAGATGGCACCCAGGTCCTTGGGAACGGTGTTTCTAGGCTGTAAACTGGCAAAGGCGTCACAGCTCATAAAAGGACTCACATACATCTAAAAGGGGCAGAGGAAGGATTCACAGGTTTTCTGCCATAAATACCCGTCAGTCAGCGCGTCAGCCTCCACCTCGACTATGGGATGATAAAAATCTCCTTCCTGGGACCTGTAGGGAGTCATTGGACTGATAGGTGAAAGTGCTTAGCACTGCACTGCAAACAGTAAGTGCTTAATACATGTCACGAGAGCTGCCACTTTGGGAGAATATCCACCCCAGACCCTCGATGCCCCTGAGCTACACTCCTGCCCACTCTCCCTCTTAACTGAAGTCCAGCTTGGGGGCTGGCCCCAGACCAAGTGACCAGCCCAGCCACCCAGTGCCCTCACAGTGAGACCTCCAGGGCCTGCAGTCCCAGCTGCTCAGGAGGCTGAGGCAGGAGGATTCCTTGAGCTCAGGAGTTTGAGGCCAGGCTGGGCAACAGAGCGAGACCCCATCTCAATAAGTAAGTAAAGCAAGAGTGAGACGGGGACTCGGGGCTCAGCCTGGGGCTGGCAGGGGCCAGCTTCCCTGAAGATGCCCCCAACCTGGTGTCTGAGGCAGGCAGGAGGAAGGGAGGCGCAGCCGTGTGCGAGGGGCCTTCACTAGCAAGAGCCTGGGGACCAGGTGGCAGGGGCAGGCAAGCCCTGAGAAGAAGGCAGGTGGGGACCCAGGGCAGCCCACGGCCCCGAGCCTGGGGGCCTGGATTCTAGGAAGTGGGGGGTGGGGGGCCTGCGTGGATTTAGGGGAGTTGACATTAAAAGGGGCTGCAAGAGACGTAAGCAGGCTCAGAAGCCACCGCAGCCTCCTGGGAAGGCGCCACGGAGCAAGGTACAGAAAAAGGACAAAGTCTTCCTCTACCCAGGCCCCACTCAGACCCTGAGAGAAGATGAGATGGAGAGTTGGGAGGGTCCCAGCCCTGCCCCCAGAGACCACAGCCAGAGAGGCTGACATACAGCTGGCCACTACAGCACCCTGCGGTGGAAGACCCCAGGAGACAGTCCCCCCTGCCACTTTGCTGGGTGACACACTAGGGCAGACTTTTAGAACTGCCTGGAAGCCAGACCAGACCAGGGCCCGCCCATCTCCGGTGCCCGAGGAGCTTGACCCGGTCAGTCCTGGATTTGGGCGAGGCCAGCCCTGCGCAGGAATCCTGGACCCACGCCCAGCTTCGCCCTGCCCCGTCCTTCCTTGCCTGGGCTGAGCCCTGTGCTGCCAGGGCAGACCACTCCCAGGGGCCTGGGGCTCGGCCTCTTTTTGAGGCTTTAGCCCATGGCCTGGGGCCTGCCTGTGGGTCCCAGGCCCTGGGAATGGGGGCTAGCACAGTGGTGGCCTCTGGGCTCCACGAGGGAGGGACCGAGTCTGGACTGTTCGCGCTCCCCCTGCTCCTGGGGCCCAGCCTCACCCTGAGAAAGTTTGACAAGGACACGCATGACCTGGTTCCCAGAACCCGCGGGTACGGGACGCCTTACATGGCAAGAGACTTTGCAGGTCTAAGCAATGAGCCCCTAAACGCAGAGGATCACGGGGCTCAGCAGGGAGGGGAGCAGAGGCGCCGCAGGCACCCGGGAGATGGCGGGGTGAAGGGTGGCACGCCCGCCTTTAAGGGGTCCAGGGACAAGACTGAGAGCGCCAGGAAGCCTCAGGAGGGGGATGACCCCAGGCCACGATCCTGTGTGTATAGCAACTGGACGCCCCCACCCCAACAGCCTGAGTGAGCGCAGAAGCAGAGGGGACCCCGAGCATGGGGGGGGGGGACACAGTCCTGACCCTCCTGAGTGCAGCCTCCGAGTCCCCGACCTGACTGCTAACCCCAGAACGAGGCAATAGGACACTTGCATTTGTCTTATTTGTTTCTTTATTGTGAAACAGGGTCTGCATTATCTCTAGAGAGGGAGGCGGTAAGATAGCACGTCCCTGAATGCCTCCATGCTGTTCCCAAACACCCACCCAGTGAAGGGAAGGACAGGAGCGGCCGGCCAGAGGCTCCAGGGACACATGATCTTGAAGGACAAGGACTTTCTCTCTGCACCTGGGAACTAGGGCAGGTTCGTGGTATCAGCAGAAAGCTACTCTCTTTCGCGTGGGCCAGGACTGTCGCTCCTGGGGATGCTGGTCACACAGCAGATAAGCCAGTTAATGCTGATGACGTCAATCCTGCAGCCTAGCGTCGTCGGAAGTCCCTCTTGGCAGGGACGGAGGAGGAACTGAGGGCACCAAGATACTTGTCACGTGTCTGGTCTGTCACCCCGGGGCACACCACTGGAGCAAGAGAAGGTACAATCTGACATAGCACAGGACAGAGGTGCTCCCTGTCAGCCTGTGGCCACTGAACTCTCCTTGGAGCAGTCTTTGGCCTCTTGTCAGCTTTCCCCGTAAGCTGTTGTCCAAAGCTCAGTCCTTGTCCCCGATGCCGATCCGATAATGAGGACACAGTTTTGAGAAAAATGAAAAAGAAGGTTTGTTGCTTTGCTAGCAAAGAGAAACAAGGGGACTCCTGTCCCAGAGGCTGTGACTCCGCCCATCAGCAGGAACAGGGGCTTTTAAAGAGGTGACTCCGGCTGCATTCCGCGTCTCTCTGGGGCTGTAACTCACCTGTTAGTTTGGGAGACAGTCATTTCTGAGATCTTCTGGTGCCATCCCCAGAGTCTGGGTTCCTTCGTTCCTATGATGGGTGTGGACTCAGAGACAGATAACCCTGCCTGGGATGGGGAAGACAGGTAATCCTAATCCCCAGAGATTATAGAAGGGGAGAGGTGAGAGAGGAGCAGGGAGAGAGGAGGAGAAAGAAACGTCCATTTAAAAAAATAAGCAGCAGTGGCAGAGCAGCAAGGGCTGTATTCAAAGCACAAAGTGGACCCCATGCCTTCCCCACTGTCGATCTCCACATGCCATCTCTATGGAAAAGTGGCAATGGCGTCTCCAAACTGCTTCCTGCTGAGGGGAGGCAGTTAGGGGAAGTGACCCAAAGTCCTTGTCCTCTGTCAGGTGGGGCATGGACAGTGCAGGGCATTCAGCAGCAGAGCAGTCCAGAGGTCCACAGTGGCAGATGACAGG